GTGTTGGTAGAAATCAATGTGCCTTTTGCAAAAAAGAGGGACATTGGAAGAATGAGTGCCCAAATTTGAAGGATAGAGCCTGGAAGCAAAGGGGGAAAGCTGTACAAGCTTTAGAGGTAAATGTTGCTAAAGCTGTTAGCGACCATTCAGATTCGGATTATTCAGACTATTCATGTCCCGCGCTGCCGTCAGTTTGCTATGCCGACTCTACGGAGTGGATGATGGATTCGGGTGCTACATTTCGCATTTGCCCTAAGAGTGATTGGTTCTCTAGCTTTGAGGAGCTGGAAAGAGGAGATGTTGTGCTTATGGAGAATGATCATGTATGCTCTATTGGTGGAATTAGTACTGTACGGATCATGATGCACGATGGAGTGACTAGGGAATTGAAGGAAGTGAGGTTCGTGCCGCAGTTGAAGAACATCATTTCTCTTGGGACTTTGGAGGCAGCAGGTTATCGAGTGATCTTAGAAGATGCTACTGTGAAGGTCACTAAAGGTTCTATGTTGGTGATTCGAGATGTCAGGGAAAGCAACCTATACTATTTGAAGGGTAAGACGGTTACAGGGGCTCTGACAGCTTCTATCACTACAGAGAAGGACACTACCACCTTATGACACATGAGACTTGAACACACAGGTGATAAGTCCCTACAATCATTAGCAAAACAGGGGCTATTGAAAGGTGCGAAGACCTACAAAATGGAGCTGTGTGATCATTGTGTACTTGGGAAGAAGACTAGAGTGAAGTTCGGCACCACTATTTACAACACCCAAGGTATATGGGATTACATTCACACAGATGTTTGGGGCCCTTCCAAACACACATCACTTGGTTGGGCTAATTATTTTGTCACTTACATTTATGACTATTCCAGGAGGAATTTTGTACACCCTATGAAACATAAACATGAGGTCCTGGATATTTTTGTGGAGTGGAAGAAGAAAGTGAAGCTTCAGACAGGTAGGAAGGTGAAGACTTTTCGTTCGGACAATGGTGGAGAGTATAAGAGTGATTCATTTTTTTCCACTCCACAAATCATATTTGCTCTAGGAGGGATTGGTTCTTCAGCTTTGAGGAGTTGGAAAGAGGGGATGTCGTGCTTATGGGTAATAACCATGTATGTCCTATTAGTGGTATTAGTTCAGTCCGGATCAGGATGCATGATGGTGTGGTGAGGGAGTTAAAAGAAGTAAGGTTCGTGCCGCAGTTGACGAATAACATCATTTCTCCTAATACTTTGGAGGCAGCTGGTTATCGGGTGACCTTAGAAGATGCTACAGTGAAGGTCACGAAGGGTTCTATGATGATGATGCGAGGAGTTAGGGAAAACTTCCTATACTACTTGAAGGAAAAGACAATTACAGGGGGTCTGGTAGCTTCTATCACTACAGAAGAGGACACTATCACTCTATGGTACATGAGATTAGAACACACTGGTGATAAATCTCTACATGCATTGGCGAAACATGGGCTATTGAAATGTGCGAAGACCTATAAGTTGGAGCTGTGTGAGCATTGTGTACTTGGGAAGAAGACGAGAGTGAAGTTTGGCACCACTATTCATAATATTCAAGGTATATTGGACTAAATTCACACAGATGTTTGGGGTCCTTCCAAGCACACATCACTTGGTGGGGCCAACTATTTTACCACTTTCATTTATGACTATTCCAGGAAAAATTGGGTATACCCTATGAAGCATAAACATGAGGTCCTGTATATTTTTGTGGAGTAGAAGAAAAAAGTGGAGCTGCAGACAGGTAGAAAGGTGAAGACTCTACGTTCAGATAACGATGGAGAGTATAAGAGTGATCCGTTTCTGTAGTTTTACCGGGATCACGGTATTATACGACACTTCACAGTTCGAGAGACACCGTAACAGAACGGGGTAGCTGAGAGATTGAATCGTACCTTGCTGGAGAATGTGTAATGTATGATGACGCAGAGTGGATTGCCTAGATCCTTTTTGGCCGAGGCGTTAGTTTATACGAGCCATCTCGTAAATAAGTTACTATGCACTGTGTTACAGGGGAAGACTCCTTTGGAGCGTTGGTCTGGTTCGATAGCTAGTGACTATGAGTCTCTTCGAATATTTGGGTGTCCTGCTAATTATCATGTTAGTGATGATAAATTGAATCCGAGAGCAAGGAAAGCAGTCTTTATGGAATTTAGAAATGGTGTTAAAGGCTTCAAGTTATGGGATCCATAGGACAAGAAAATGGTCATTGGTAGAGATATCACATTCGATGAGGCGTACATGATGAAGCCTCAAGTTCCTCAGCAGGTGGAGAAAGACCAGACATGAGAGATATCACAGCAGGTGGAGGATGATATGACTCCACCCACTCCAAATAGCACTGTATCCATTAAAGCTCCTACAGAGGTGGCACTGGGAGGAGATAAGGTGACAGTCGGACATTTAGAGGATACAGTGGATGGTGAGACTCAGGAGCAGGGTCATATTCAGGAGTCTATTGCAGCAAACAGACCTAGGAGGGTGATTCGTCAGCCAGCTAGATATGATGATGTCATGGTTACATATGCTTTATCAGTGGAGGTCGTTGACGACTTGGTTCCTCCCACATTCAAGGAGGCAGAGTCTAGCTCTGATTTGATTAGGTGAAGGAATGCTATGGAGGAGGAGATACGGTCTCTTCAGAAGAACGACACTTGGGAACTTCCAAAGCTACCTAAGGGTCAGAAATCTATTGGTTGTAAGTGGATATATGCGAAGAAGGAGGGATATTCGGGTCAAAGCCAGATTGGTTGCCAAGGGATATACACAGCTTGAGGGCATTGATTACAATGAGGTATTTTCACCCGTTGTGAAGAACTCGTCGATTCGGATTTTTTTGGCATTAGTAACATAGCTGGATTTGGATTTGATCCAAATGGATGTGAAGACAGCCTTTCTACACGTAGATTTAGATGAGGAGATCTACATGAGACAACCCATGGGGTTCAAAGCTGTAGAAAAGGAAGATTTGATGTGTAAATTGAAGAAATCTCTTTATGGATTGAAGCAATCACCGTAACAGTGGTACAAGAGATTTGATAGCTTTATGATTAGCCAAGGTACACGAGGAGCCCTTATGACTCGTGTGTTTATATGCACAAGCTACAGGATGGTGAGTACGTTTATTTGTTATTATATGTTGACTATATGCTCATTACTTCTAGGAATACTTCAGCTATAGAAAAATTGAAAAAGGAGTTGGCATCTGAGTTTGAGATGAAGGATCTTGGAGAGGCTAAGAAGATATTGGGTATGAAGATTGAGCGAAATAGGGTGAATGGAAGATTGAAGCTTACACAGAAGAGTTACTTGCAGAAGATTCTAAAGAAATTTAGTTTTGAGGGCAATGCCAATGTGGTGAGTACTTTATTAGCTCCCCACTTCAAGCTTTCAGCCTTGATGTCACTAGTTTCAGTTGAGGATCGGGACTATATGTCCAAAGTTCCATACGCCAGTGCAGTGGGTAGCTTGATGTACGCGATGGTGTGTACTAGGCCAGATTTATCACAAGCCGTGAATATGGTATCTAGGTACATGCACGAACCCAGAGAGGGTCATTGGGATGCCATGAAGCGGATTCTACAGTATGTTAAAGGTACCATAGATGTTGGTTTAGTGGTTTAGAAGAATGAGAAGACAAAGCAGGATTGTATTGAGTATGTGGATTCTGACTATGCTGGAGATCTTGACAAGCACCGGTCCACTACAGGTTATGTATTTACATTAGTTGGTGCACCGGTGTGTTGAAGATGCACACTTCAGTCTACAGTGACTCTCTCTATTACAGAGGCAGAGTATATGGCAGTGACTGAATCTGTGAAGGAGGCTTTGTGGTTGCATGGATTGTTGGAGGACTTGGGGATTGCACAGGAGACCATTCAGTATTTTGTGATAGCATGTTAGGTATCTATTTGGCGAAGAACCAAGTTTATCATGCACGCACAAAGCACATTGATGTCAGATTTTACTTTGTATGTGACGTATTGGATGATGGATAGGTCACGTTGGAGAAGGTTCACACTAAGGACAACCCTGGTTATATGATGACCAAAGTTGTTCCGGGTGACAAGTTTGGTCATTGTTTGAATCTATTAAACATTCTTCGATGTTGAAGCCGTTGGCGGCCATTTGGGTGAACTACGTGAAGCTTGATTCCTTGGGAAAGAGGATATGTAGGCAATCTTTAAGATGCAGTCTGGTTATATTAGTTGCTTTCGATGGGGGGAGATTGTTTGCGCTCCCTTTCGGGTTCCCGACTTGTTGTGGATTGAGTCCATTGTCATGGATTGGTTCCATGACGTACTGGACGCAACAAGTGGGATATTTGGATGTTTTGGTATCGGCTCAATTTTTGGTAGAAATATTCGCCGAGGTGGAGAATTGTAGAAATGATGTTAAAATTCATGAGGGAACAAGCATGCAGTTTCACGGTCGACCGCACATGGCTCTGCAGTTGACCGCAACGTGCACAACACTATAGTATGGCTCTAGATTTTTGGCGGTCGACCACACATAGTTCTGCGGTCGACCGCGCCGGAACACAGAAGTTAGGAAACTCTTTGCAGTTTTTGCGGCCGACCGCGATATGTGCTCTGCGGTCGACCGCGATGCTGGTTTGGGCCAGGTTTAGTTTTCCTGACCCGTTTCGTTATAAGTTTGTATATAACCCTAAACACGAATTTTAGTGTTATATGAGGAGTGTTTTGAGCTGCCGAAAGAGGGTTTTGTTGCATCCATTGTGGGAGGCTTTGGAAGAGATCTAAAGAGCTTATTTTAGGGTTTTTGGTAAGATTTGTAACCCTATTTGTATTCTCTTGATTTCTAATAGTATAAACTCCTCCCTCCTTGCCCCGTGGACGTAGGCAACTTGCCGAACCACGTAAATTCGTGTGTCTTGCTGTGATTAGTGTTTTGGTTATATTGCTTGTGATCTATCTTGTTCTTGTGTGTGCGATTTGTTTGATTTTCGAGTTCCGCTGCGTACAACAAATATGAATCACTTTTTGCATTTATTTTACATGATCAGTTTTGATAAAATAAATACGAAAAGTGTTCAAAGTTTATTTCACTTTCATACAAGCAATCACTCCCTTAAGCATTGAAATTATACAACTAAAAAAATTAGCTAGGAAATGTCTCGATCTCTTCACATGAACATTCTGAAAGCTGTGTTTAGCTTCTTTAGAAGATCCTTCACTGTCATTGAGAACCCCTCTTCAACCTGGAAAGAGAAATCATAGTAAAGTGATTTATCAAATTAAACATTACTTCTATATAACAAAATTGACCGCTAGTAATAAGAAACAGTTTGTTAAAAATCTTAAAGTCAAGTCAATATAATCCTTAATATTCGTATGAAGGGAAGTAATTCTAAGGGATTAATATATATCAAAAAAAACATCCCTTAACTTTAGACGATTATTAGATAAACCTAAATTTTAACAATGACAAGGAGGTTTATGTTGTGGAGGATAGTTTATAGGACTTAAATATCAGAGTTAGGAATTGATTAAGTCAAAAGTTTGAGCTATCAACTATTGGTCCCACCTCTTTTCTCAAACTCATCTCTTTATTTTATTCTTTTCAAAGTGGTGCTGTAC